GCTCCCCCGGGGCGCGCTGGGGGCGTCCGGAAGGGCGCGGCCGCCGGCGGGACCCCAGGCGGCGGGGACCTCGGGGACCTCCGCGAGCTCGCGCCGGGAACGCCCGCCCGCTGGGGCCAGCGCGGGGCCGCGAGCCTGCTCCTCCCTGCGCGCGCCCGGTTCTGTCCACGTCGCCGAGGGAGGCCTGCCCCTGGGTGCTCGGCCCCAGCGCGCCCCCATAACTCGAGCTGGCCCTGAGACCTCAGCGCGGACGGACTGTCGGGGGCGTGGGAACGTAGCCCCGTGTGGGGCCGCTCAATCCCCTTTTCTGGAAAGTCACTCCCTCCCCCGCGCTCGGAAAGTTGGTGAGGATTGGGGAGGGTGAACGAGTGGGGAAACTTCTGAGAACTGTATAGTTGGGCACTCGGACAAGGAAAATGGGGGAACATGGCTTTTCCGACCTTTGGTCTCTTTCTCCAAATATTGGATGGACCCAATAACAAATTGGATGGATCGTTTACTGGGACATGTTTTGTGCAAGCTCTGTCCCGAACGTTGAAAGTATTCAGAGTTAAACCTCGAAGTAGGCTTTCCGTGGTCAATGTATCATGCCATTTTACAGATGTGGACGCCCAGGCACAGGCAGCCGCCCCCCTGGAAAATCAGGGAGCAGGTTTCAAACCCAGGTAGCCTGACATCGGAGCCAGCTGCTCTCCACATCTCAGCAGTTTGTCAAACCGCATAACTGGGTTCTCCAGCGGGTTTGCTTAAAATGCAGACTACCAGGCCCCTTCTCTGAAATTCAGCAAACCATGTATCTTATTTCTTAGAATTTGGCAAGACAGGAGACCAGTAGTTTGTCTGCTGCTTGGGGGAATGCCCCAGGCCAGCACTAACCTGCTTGTATCCTAATCTCTGCCCTTCCCGAGCCCTCTGCCAGGTGTGACCATCTGCAGATCTTCCCTTAGGTGTGGTCTTTTAAGAGCCCAGTGCATTTGGGGGACATCAGTGCCTTCATTAAAATCCTAAAGTCTCATGGGGAAACTGAGTCTCTAGGTGTAGGTTTGGGCAGGATGTCTCGCACAGTAAAGGGATTCCTGAGTCCTGCACAGACGTTCTTAGAACTGGGCTAGCCCAAACCCACGAATGGGAGGTAACCGGCTAAACCATTCATTCATTCACTAGCGTTCGCTGAGCTCCTGCTGGGCTCTGCAAGCTGTCTAGGCACTGGTGTTTGTCCTCAAATTAGCCACCCCTCTGGAGACTGAGACGTGGCTGGGGGAAATAAAGAAGGAGGGATACACCAGGGGCTGCTGCAGAAGCACCAGCAGGGGGTGATCAACTCTTCACAGGGCAATGGGACAGGCTTCACAGAGCGGGGGACCCCAGAGCCAGCCTTGGAAGTGGAGTAGAGGGGGTTGGCAGGTGCAGGATGGGAGGTAATGGTGTGCTGAGCAGTGAATGCAGCTGATAAAGGCTGAAGTATGAAAGGGCACAGTGTATGGAGCATGAGAGGTGACGTGAAGCCAGAGAGATATAGAAAGGTGGCCCAGGCTGCGTTGTGGAAGGCCTTGAACGCCATGCTGAGGAGCATAGGCCTGTGTATTTTCTCTTTGCCTGAGCCATGAGAATCACAGAGCAGATTTCTGGGCTTCACTCTAGACCTCTGCACCTGAATCTGGAAAGGGCACTGCTAGTGAGTCGTCCCCATTACAACACACCCAGTTACCAGCAGGTCTGGGATAACCTGAGGGTTTCCAGATTCTGGGAAGTGACTCAGTGACTGGTATGTTTTGTACATCACAATCTCAGGGTTGCAGAAAGCCAAGACGGGTGGGGAGGCCATCCCCTAAGGCATTCACAATTTCCTGGTGCTCAGAGTTAGAAAAGGAGTTGAAATGAAGTGTCAGGAAAGAAGTGAAGGAAAGAACTTTTTTCTAAACCGCTCCTCTCCCTGCCATCCACCCCATCAGGGAAGATGGAGGAGAGTGTTTAGGATTAGATGTGTCCCTCCATCCTAGACTGCCCTCACCTGGGAGTAGGGCAGGGTCCCCACACATTGCTTCCTCACATTTGTAAAACTGGGCTCTCATGAGAGTTAATGACATCGTGTTTTATAAGTTATTTGACACAATTTCCAACACATGGTAGGGGCACAATAAATGCTTATGTCTGTTGCTACCTCTCAAGAAGTATAGCTTGGAGGTAAGAGCGTGGAGTCTGGCACCAGATTGCCCAGATTTAGATGATGACTTTGCTACTTACTGTGACTAACTCCTCAGGACCTCAGTTTTCCCAATTGTAAAATTATAGTGACTACTTTGTATCATCATAGCAATGATTAAATGAGTTCACATTAGTCGAGCATCCAGAACAGTGCCTGGCACATAGTAAACACTACGTATTTGTTAAATAAATCTTTATTGTTGCCTCCCATGAATCCCACTGGATGGGATTTAATCTACCCATTTTGCAGGTGAGAAAACTGAGACCCAGAGATTTGTGCAGTGGCATTGCCTAAGGTCCCACATCTGAGAGTGACAGAAGGAGGAATCTGATCCTGTTTTCCTTCCCAGCCTGTATTCTGTCCTACTGTGCCAGCTTGCTGGGGTGGCCAAGAAGGATATATTTCTGAGCGTTCCTCATGGCCAGCACTGTGGAAATGTGCCCAGCCGTGTTTGGCCAGACTTCCATCAGCTGGGCTAGAAGATATGCCAGAGGCTTGCCTAGGTGTTGCTCAGACTTGCCCTTGCTGGAGTGTGCATGAGACTGCAGAGGCTCGAGGGCCCCAGAACCCTTGACCTTCTTGTTACCAATACCACGCTCTAACCAACTGTTCTAACCGATCAGCCCACCAGGAGATCCAACATTAGATTGGCCATTTTCCCATCACTTTGTTGTGTCTTCCAGCAAATTGTTCTGCATCAGGGAGCCTGTGGCAGAAAGGAGAGTACAGGCTTGAAGACAGGGGCCCCAGGTTCAAATCTTGCTTGCTGCTTCCTTGCTGTGTGATCTGGAGGAAGTTGCTTAACCTCTCTGAGCCCCCCTTTGCTTGTCATGGGTGTTTAAGAGGAGAATGTTCATGAGAGTGGGTATTTGGGGGGTTTTCATATTGTTATGGACACCCTGCCCATGGAAGGGGCTCAGTGATTGCTGTTTCTCTCCCCACTTAGGACAGAGTCCCTTCTCTGTATCCAGCACCTGGCTTTCCCATTCATTTCTTCTGCAAGTATGTATTGAGCACCTTATGTGCCAGTCTCTGCACAGGTGCTAGTGGTAGAGGTACAAAGTCCTTGCTCTCCTGGGGTCTAGATTCTAGTTGAGAAGACAGGCAATATACAAACAAATATGAATACGTGCAGATCTATAACCCTTATCTGTAATTTTGAAATCTGCAAGCTCTGAACTGAAAGCTTCCATAACTCATTTGGAAGCAAAATACGACCTGAACTAAACGTGAGGCTCTTTAGAGTCTTTATCCTCCTTGGTGTGAATGCTGGAAGTCTTGCCGCAGAGATAATAATACTGTTGATCACGGAGTGCTACTCCAGACCCTGCGGGTATGTTGCGTGGTGTTTTATACAAGGAGATCTTTCTACAACCTGAGTAATTATGAATTCTGAAATACGTCTGGTCCCCAGGGTTTCACAGGAGGGAATGTGGACCTGCAGCATCCTGTCAGGTAGAGACAATGCTAGGAAGAAAAAGTCAGCGAGGCTAGAATCAGGGAGAGCCTCTCTGAGGAGGTGACATTTGAAAGAGACAAGTGGCAGAGGCTTGGGGAAGAACAGGCCAGGTGGAGGGACCCACAGATGGAAGACCCCATTTCCGGGCCCAGCCTGCTGTTCACCCCTCTCTGTGAGTACACAGTTCTGTTGAAATGCATCCGTTCTTGCCTTTCCAAGAAGTGGTGACATCGCTGAGGTTTCAAGTTTGTCTCTGACTCATGTCTATCTAGGCTCCCCACCAGGCCTCCTCACCTCTTCTCTGTTGCTTAAGAAATCCGGGCTCTGCGTTAAAGCAAGCCTCGGTTCTGTGACCTCCTGGCTGAGGACATCCCCGACTGGGCCTGCACTTGGAGAGGGAAGAAGTATCTCCTGGGGATGGGAGGAGGAGTTGGGCCATTCAAGGGTTTGGTGGAACTGATTTCTTGGAGAGGAGGGGCTGGAGCTCTAGTCTAAGAGCCTCCAGCCTGCAGAGCCAGATGACAAAGTTAAGAGTAACAGGCACTTATGTGCAGCACTGTGCTAGGCGTTTGCACCCACTTAGCAAATGCGCCAGTGGTTGGGGACTTAGCATCATATGACCCTGAAGTCAGGGCCCTCGTGGAGCCAACAA